GAGCAAATCCATCTGGCGGAGTCAGGTTAGATATGCACAGGAAGAGCAGCACAATGGCATAAATAACTACTAAAAGCACAAATGCTAATTACTGGAAGATGAATCAATCCAGACAATAAAAGGCTGAAAATGAAACATGGTATAACATTTTTAATTAATGATATGCGCCAAGAGATAACATAAACAACGTTCAACATGTTTAACAAATTAATTATGTCAAAAAATAAAACAAATAACAAAATAGGGAATTAAATGTTGTTATCCTACTTTAAAGAAATATTTCTGGAGTAAACTTTCAAAATAATTAACAGCTATTAGCCGCGGCAGCAGGAAACTGTCAGAACAGGCAGCTCTTTTTTAGGTGACGAATAAAGAACTCTTTCAGTGCATGGACAGGCCAGCAGGGGAGTTCAGAGCCAAAACAAGCTGCTGGCACAACATACTGACCCTGACCTGGTGCTCTCACTTTAAGTTATACCTGGACAAAGGTGAATACATAATTAGAACTACAAATGCAGACTTAAGTAGCGGGAGCAATTCACACTGCAAAACAAAACGAGGATTTATAACAACAAAATAACATTACATATTTATTTTTGCTGTTTTTTTGGTTAAATATGTAACACTAGGTAATGCTATTTTAGGTGTAAGTGTAAAAATGCAAAGAAGAACACCACACCGATTCTGGTTCATCTGCAGACATGCCATAACCGCAGAACTATTTCTGAATGCTTCGAGGCATTTAAAGGGTTGAATCCGTCATTTCATCAGCAGCTGAAGTTTTAAAGTTCTGTTTGAAGTATAGTTTAGCTACTGGTACATCAATCATCAGGGTGGAAATAAAAATAAGGTTTTATTATAAAAAATGTGTAATTAGCTTTTTTTCCCCCTGTATTATTATTCTTTTTTGGCTTTTAGAATCAGGAATTATAAAGTCAGGTACATTTATTTCACACTGACATTTATTGGCATTAATAAGGTGATAAAATGGGTTACTCATTCTAGTGCCTCTGAGCACAACAATAAATGCTATAAAAAAGCTACACCCTTATGTCTTAACAATGACAAATACTTCAACGTAACTGTAAAATGTAAAAATGTAATAGATAAATATGGTATTTTAATTACATAAACAGGGATATTGGTAACTTTGAACTTGGATAGTTTTACACATAAAATAGTTTTGTATAGTAATTTTAATTTGTATAGTAAACATTCTAGTTAGATTTCATTTATATGGCTGTTTTATATTGATTACTTAATCACTAAACGCATGGGGACATCATCAGGTGATAGGATGAACCTGGAAATAAAGTGTTTGGACTTCATGATGTCTGCTCTTCTCCCTGATGGACCAATATTAACAGTAGTAGCTCTGCCAATCTAGAAAAAGTTGCATGTCCTGCGAAAATGCAGTGTGAATGCTGTACGCTAAAAATGGCAGAAACAAAGAGAAACTGAAGCAAACATGGCTGAAATTGTATGAAATAGCAAACCACAGACTGATTAACTTCTTTCCTGAAACTAGTGGTGCCACCAGGGGGTTGCAAGGTGTGGCCACAGCCCACTCGCCAGTCTAAAATGTAGTACCATTATCAGTTTAGCATTTCATCCCATTAGGCATAGCCAGTTATGTAACATTAACAATTACACAATAAACCAAGATATGAGTAGGTGTTTAGGGTTTCTACAGGCAGATTTACCACAATAATAGATTCAAACCTTGAAATTATTGCTTTTAGTTTCAGTGTGCCACCCCAAGATTTTTAGTGGCCCCATCTGGCCACCCCTTTGAAACACTTCTGGAGGCACCACTGCCTGAATAGAAGCTGAAGCAAGCTGATATCACCAGACACATGGCTGAAATGTGATGAATTGGTAAGAAACAGAAAAAGCTTAATGATTGGAAAGATGGAAAGAATCCTGCCAAGTTGAAAATATAAAACCTGCTGAGATCTAATCAATTAGAAACAGTAGAAAAGCTATTATGTAGAAACTGGAATCTCATTTGGTTAAAGAAAAAAATATATTGGCTTAAGGATAGTGACTGAAATGTTGAAGAATATGGTATTGAGCTTAGTGTGACGTCGTTTGTGCAAAACTTAAGAAGTGGCATAACTGTTGGAAATAAATGCAAAAGTCTTAGTTGATCAAAATATAGAAAAAGTTCAAGTATCTAATTAACACTCAAATAACTTGGCAAAAAAAGTTATTTTAAACAGCATTTTTTTTTGTTACGTTGCTCATTAAAACTTGATGAAAACTCAAATTGTTGACTCATTATTTAGGTGCAACTATGAAATATTTCAGCGAAATTTGAAGGGCATTAAATACTTTTTTTTGCACTATCAAGTTGATCCTGCATAATTTCTAGCACTGGACTTGGCACACAATAAGCACTAAGGAATGTTTCAGGTAATAAACCTGGTACACATAATGGCCATTAACCGTTATAAACTTCTCACCCCTTATTTTCTACCCCAATTATCCACTATCTTTATTTTTTTAAATAAAATTCCCTAACTATACACAAGGTAAACATAACGTAAAGTCTCGTTTAATATCACAATGGGAATCGCCATGCGTCTTATCGCTCCCCAATATGTGCAACGACAGCCCCATCTGCTGTTTTGACGAGTGCTCGCGCTGATTTTCCACATGTCCCGCCCCTTCTTCGCTCCAATTGGCTGCTATTTTCCGCCATACGTCCTTCGTTCTGCTTCCCTATTGGCTCCCTAAGCTGTGCGTCACAGTTTAGTTTGTTACTCCGCCCACTGCAAAGATGGAGGACGATATGTCAGATTTTAGCAGACCTCAGATGTATTTATTTGGTGAGCTTATTCCCCTATGATAAATATTATTTTTATAGGACGCAAAGTCAAATTTAGTAACATATGAATCATTATAAATGGCGTTTAAACGAGAATGGAAGCTTAAAGTTACCGTAATAAGTCGCTACTCTGTTTTCCCTACTCGCGCCAATCAGCTCTTTGTTAGCTAGCTCTGCAGGGCTGCTAGAGTAGAAACACTTCCAATAGCTGATAATGTATTTTCTACTGTGCATGCTTTATAAATGCAGCTGTAACAATCATGGAAATTACAAGTTTTTTCCCTTCCTAGGTTGTACTCTGAGGTCGGATAAACGGGAATTCAAAGTTGACCTAGATGACGAAGATACAGAACAACAACTGTCTCTCAAAGCAGTAAGACATTTAGACGTTATTATTGTGTTATTATACATTATATCATGTCTAAACTAAATTTTAAATAGGAATTTTTAAAAAATAAAATATATGTAATTCTAATTTAACTAGTCTATAAATGAGTACTTGATATCTGTGATTATATTTGTACCAACAGAAATATATTTTAGATGTCAAGAATTGTATTTCTAGATATCTGTAATGTTATATTCATTTTTGATATCCTAAATAGTAATTATGACTACCAGTAACTATATTGTGGAGATCTGAAATTCGAGTTCATCTTAGTCACAATTCATTTTAGATAGGAAGAATGTTTATTTTAGATATCTCCAAGTAAAAGCCCAATGCACATGAATTGGAAACGTGAGGTCATTTGTACTAGCAAGAATTACATTTCAGATATCGGAAATGTGTATTTTATCAAGCTAATAAATGTCAAAATGGCCTGCCATACATGTTTTATCCTTTAAATGCCCCTTAAATGATTCTGAGCTTATGCATCTAAACTATAAATTAAACTGTAGCAGGATTTTAAATCTCTAACTGTCGTATAACTCCAATAGAATTTTCACTGTAAAAGAACTGCTGTTAAAAAATAAGTAAATAATAGATTTTTCTTTTGTAACAATCTGCCTTTTATTGTCAGAAGTTTAAATGTAATTTAATTGACATGTAGTTTTAATTAGCCTAAAAGTTACCCTACATTTTGTAAAATGTATATACATTACACCTGTATTGTGAAAGAATTGTAGATATATTTGCATACTGTCATTTTATTTATTACATTAGTTGACATTTATATATTTCAAGGAATGATATTAAAATAATTTCTTGGAAAAGATCTTCATCCTATGTTTTATTCCCACCAAAGGACAGATATAAGTTAACAGGAACAAAATAATTGAATACATACATACATACATACATGTTTATGCATTTAGCAGAGGCTTTTATCCAAAGCGACTTACAAAGTAGACACAATGTTAAAGTTATCATCAATATGACGATAAGTTCTCTAGAGGGAAATCCAGCAAAGAGAGAGAGGGAAGTACAGAAAGAGAAGTAGAGGGGTACAGAGCTACAGGTAAGAATTAGGATAGGAGATGCTCTTTACTTACATAACATTTGTGGTACGTCAAACACAGATTTTTCAAACCACCTGTCAATATTTAGATGGTGAGAATAAATCTCAGTACCATATCAGAATGGGAGGGCAGTGCCTATGTTTTCTTACACAGTAAAAAACACAGTAACACATTTTCTCTTTGACATATATGTGTTAGGGACAGCATTTAGTAGCCTTCTGTAAATACTGCTGCAGCTTTCATCAGCTCATATACTTGAACTTTTGCCACAGTGATCAATTTAGGTAATAATAAAATTTCTTAGTATGAAAATTCACAGTAATTAACACCAGCAAAAAATCTATTTAGGCTTGATGTAATGTTTTTTTTTTTCCATTAAACAATTAAACCAAACAAACAAAGCATAACAAGACAAATCTTCCTTCTTCCTATATAGTGTTTTTAACTGCAGCTATAGGTTTTCTTAAAAGAAAATTTGATAGATCTAGTGCTTTCTTTTCTGCAAAATTTCTGCAAAAATCTGGTCAGGGGTTAACTCAAATAAAACTTAGTGTAGTGGACCTTAACCTTGACAGACAAATTTATTTGTGGACTGATCTCTGCTGAGGAGACAATAAATCTCTGCTGTTCCAGGTGTGTCTGGGAGCCGAGGCGGAGGACAAGTTCCATATGGTGGAAGTGGAAGGGCTTGCATACGATGCAAAAATCGTCAAAGCGCCGATAGCGGTCCTGAAACCGTCTGTCTTGCCGTCTGTGAGTCAACATCTATAAGAACTAAAAAAAAAAAGAAAACTACACATTCATCTGTTTTATTCTGTTTAGACCTGCAAGAATACGAAGGAAATGAAAGAAAAAAAATACAATAAATATAAAAAAAGATACAAATACTATAGCAAATAAATGGACATTTAGCTATTTTTTAATGGTGGCTTTTGTTTATCCAGATGAATTTAGGTGGATTTGAGATTTCTCCTCCCGTTACCTTCCGTCTTGTTTCTGGTTCTGGTCCGGTTCACATCAGTGGACAGCATTTTGTCAGTAAGTAATATCACAGAAACCCTAATGTTAATGCAAATGTAAATCGGTTTCCAGGTGTTAGGATAACTTCTTTAACAAAGGCCACATCATACCCAAGACTAGAACAACCAGATGCTTTAATAAGAGTGTTGTTGTGAACAGTTTGTCCTTTTCAGGAATTTAAGGACTCCTTGTGTTAGTCTGGAAAACAATTTCATGCTTTACTTAGTATTTTATGCAATGGATGTGTAAGTAAATATTTATTGCTGTGTTGATTCAACTGTTCTTAATAGTATTTTTTTATTTAGGTGTAAAAGATTCTGATGATGAAGAGGAAGAAAACAACACGTCTCCTGTAAAACGGCCTGCAAGCCTTTCCTTAGTAAAGAAGCCTCCGCAGGTGGTCATCATTCTTTATTTCTTTCTTTTTCTTTTGCCTGCAGCTCTTCTATTAGCTGAGCAGCAAACGTCTCCCAGCTCTCTTTGAAAGTTTTTTTTCTGTAAAGGGTGTAAACGCAAAATGCCAATTAGTCACATTACTAAATTTAATAAAATAAAAAATGACCACTGATGAGGTTTATAACCTGATATGCAAATGTAGATTAGAATTAGAAATGCCTTGTCCTAATTAGTGTCGTATTTTTGGCAGAAAAAAATAAAAATGGATTCTGATGACGACGATGAGGATGATGAGGAAGAGGACAGTGATGAAGATGATGACGAGTATGATTTTCTTTTGTTTAAATAAACATTTATTTGAAAAGTAAAAACCTCTTCAGATTGAGCTGTCAGGTGAACTGAGATGTCTTCTTTCTTTCCTTCTAGTGATGATGAGAGCGATGAAGAGGATGTGAAGCCTCAAAAGAACCTGGCAAAAGCTTTCAAAAAAGTAAGTCGGGTCTGTTTTCATTTTTTTTCATAGAGACATAAAAAAGTTTTGTACAACTTTCAAAACTCATTAAAGTGGAACCTGTGAAAATATTCAACTATTTTTTAATCCTCTGATGAGAATAAAGGAGATTATCAAGCTGATTTAAAGCATGGAATAAGTCAGCACGCCTTTTTATTCCAGCGCAGCTTGATGTTTGTAAATGCCCAACTTTGGCATTGGTATCACATCAGTTTCTCTTTATCATTTATATTAAACTTTCTTCCTACAGGGTGCAGCAATAATCTTGCACATTAAAGCAGAAAACAAATATGTATAGTTTAATTGTCGTTTATATTTTCTGTACTCTAAACAGGGTCATTATACAAACACTGCAACATAAATGCACTAATATTTAGTTTACTGTCCTTAAACACTTTTCACCTAACCACATCTCCATGTAGCCATCTAGAAGCTTCTGGATGGATGTTTAACTATTCGTCTTGGCAGGATTGGAGTAGAATTGCTGGCAGCGATGAGTTTGGGGTCATTGCCCTTTTGGAAGAACTACATTTGCTGGAATTTAAACCCTTTGTTTGCTGATTGGAAATTCGTTTAGACCTACTAGTTACGTATGATGTTTACATAATGCTCGGTTCTCAGGCTTAAAGGCTTTAACATGAATCATTGAACATACGTGTTTTCTTTCATGTCGGATAAGCTCATGCTTCTCTTGTGTGGCCTTAAAAAACCCCCAAAAACATTGCTTTGGAGAGTGACAGACATTTTTCAGCTTTTTCAAGTTCATACCAAGATTAAGACTTTATGGATCCAGGATTTTTTTTCTGATCTTCTTTGTAAGGGAGAGGGTAAAGTTTATGGATTACATCACCATGAAAATCATGTGGATGTAAACATAGCACTGGGACTTTGTTAAGATGCTTGTCTAACATAGCGCATCAATCCTAAATAATGCTTTGTTTTGGCTGTAGGCTGCTATACTAGGTTTAAAGATATAAAATATATATTTCTAGGTTTTATTTTCCGATTTTAATACCATTTTTAGT